AATTTCTCTAGGCTCGAGGAAATCGGTTTTAGTGGGCAATATACCGACACGCTTAATTTTTGCCTAGAATGCATGCTAAAGGAATAACATGTCGATCAATGACATTCTAACAAAGATAATAAATTGGTGAGATATAAAATAAAAAATTGGTGAGATATAAAATAAAAATCCTCAAATAAAGGATATTAATTTAGTAATTAAAACGTCTTCCATCACCATAACGTGATGATTGGTTTGTTGTATGTACGTGATAATATGTAGTGTCCACTCTACTGATACTGAGAATCACACTTGAGGACAATGGCTTCAGTCATCGTATTGTGTGATTGATTTGTTGGCTTACTTCGCATTTGAAGTTGGTAGTAGGAGCTATCAATTGATGTGGATTAAGTATGTTGGCCTACCTAATCAACCCATTTTGGCTTGTTTGCCGAAGCGAAGGTTTGAAATAGGCTAGATGAGATCCCAGTCCATTAGGAGAGCCAACGGGCTTTCTCGAGTTAATAGTGAGGACTATTGGTTTGAGGAAAATAGTGGGAGCATTTAATAAAAGACCTTATTAAATAATAATAAACATTGTAATAACTTTTACTTTTTTGCATTTGTAGATTCACTAAAATGAGCAATACCAACCTGCGATCAATAATTGAAAAGGGAAATAGGCTAGATGGATCCAATTTCTCGGACTAGTATCGAAATCTTCGAATTGTACTAAAGTAAAAAAAGAAATTGTATACCCTTGACAAGCCTTATATGGCTGAGCCTGATCCCGATGCCACTCAGGAAGAAAATGACACTTACCAAAAGTTCCTTGATGATGCTGATAATGTTCAATGCATTATGCTAGCATAAATGACACCTAAGCTGCAAAAGCAACATGAGAATATGGATGTTGCTGCCATGATTCTACACCTCAAAGAGTTTTTTTGAAGGAAATGCTCATCGTGAGAGGTATAAGGTGTCGAGTGCATTGTTTAGGAGTCATATGACTGAGGGAGCTCAAGTTGGTTCTCATATGCTCAAGATGATTGGGTACATAGAGAGGCTTGAGACTTTAAGGTTTGGTGTGGATGCAAACTTACAAGTGAATTTAATTCTGCAGTCATTACCTGATTTCTTTTCACCGTTCATAATGGATTTCAATATGAACACGATGGTGAAATCCCCGTCAGAACTTATGAACATGATTAGGATTGTGACGCAAGACATGAAAAAGTCCAAGCCTGTTTTTCTAGTTGCTGCCAATAAAAGAAAGGGTAAGGGCGAGGGAAAGGCCAAGGCCAATCCCAAGCCCAAGCCCAAAGGACATGATGCTCTCAAACCTGAAGGTGGCGTTAGGAAAGGTGGGAAGGTAGTCTGCTTCTATTGTGGCAAGCCTAGCCACTGGAGGAAACACTATAAGGCTTTCCTAACAAATAAGAAGAAGTCAGACGCTTTGACTTTAGGTATGTACATGATTGAGATTAATTTCTCTCCTTCAACATCTTCGGTTATTGACACAGGATATGGTACTCACATTTGTACTGATGTGTAGGGACTAAGTTAGAGTAGATTGCTCGCCAAGGGAGAAGTGGACCTATAAGTTGGAAATAGAGCACATGTGGTTGCATTAGCTATAGGGACTTATTGTTTGACTTGGCCTATGGGGTTATTATTAGAACTCAAAGATTGTTATTTTGTACATGTTATTTCTAGAAACATTATTTTAGTATCTGCTTTAGATAATATAGGATATCATTTTGAAATTTCTAATGGATTTTTGTCCTTTAGTTTGAATGGAATTCCATTTGGAATTGCAAGGTTATATAATAAATTATATGTTCTTGATTTGAATAAGATATTCTCAATGTTGAAACTAAGAAAGCTATCAAAGCCAAACACACCTCTGGCATTGTAGATTGGGTCATGTTAATTAGACCCGTATTGCAAAACTTCAAAGGGATAGAGTTTTGGACCCTTTTGACTTTCAGTCATTTGAGGTATACAAGTCATGCCTTTTAGGCAAGATGACCAAATCGCCTTTCACAGGCAAAATGAAAGGGCTACTTAATTGTTAGGCATCATCCATAGTGATGTATGCGATCCACTTATAGTTGAAGCCAGAGGTGGATATTCATACTTCATCACATTTACTAATGATTTCAGTAGATATGGTTATGTCTACCTTATGAGACATAAATTTGAAGCCTTTGATAAATTCAAAGAATTCAGGAATGAAGTACAAAATATGTTAGGCAAAAGTATTAAAAGCTCTTCAATCAGATCAAGGAGGTGAACACTTGAGCTCAGGGTTTTTTGAATACTTGAAGGAATGTGAGATAGTATCACAACTCACCCCTCCGTATACACCCTAACACAATGGAGTGTTTGAGAGGAGGAATAGGAACCCAGTATTATTCTAACCAAAGACACAAATAATACGATAAAGTTATCATAGTGTTGAACGACTCTGTCAAAAGACAGTGACTGATCGCACTTGTCAAGGTTGTTTGCCGACAACCTGATGTAACACATGGGTGCTTGCTGGAGGCAAGTTCACTAGACAGACCCACTAGAGGATTCCATATGGATGATAACCCTAGTGTCTATGGAATAAGTCCTTTAACAAATGGTGGTGCATGTGATCCTTAGACTTGAGATCACCGGAGCACCTTGTGCACCCATTAGTGTAGTTTGACATTAGTCCAACATAGTTCTATTCAGAGCTATCAATACGGTAGTGATTGACTACATCGAGGAGTGCATCAAGACTATGGTGGATCGACAAAGGATTCATCACTCCTGGGTATGGAAGAAGTTATCTCACTACGCAATTTAGTAAATGGAAATGACATCAAATTTGTGGCCATAGTGGGATTAAGTTGTTGCTCAATCTAATTTATTATTCCGATCATTGGTCCAGTAACTGAATACAAAGATGTCGAGAATAATTTAGGTTGACACTATTTATGTATCTCAGCCTCGTTGAGATAACGTATAATGAAATGATTTGACTATATGGTAATCATATCGTTGATAGGTAGCTATTTTGCTGAATCTGAATATATTGGGTAGCATGATGCCTTACTGGGGGCCAATTTTGGTCTTTGTGTCGTGAGACAATTAATTGGTGTTAATCACGATACTACTCACTGTCAATATGATAAAGAGTCTATAGGTCACACACTTAGAAGATAATTTAAGAATCAATTTGTGAAAGGGGTATTTTGGTAATCTCACATTGCAATTAAATTTACTGAGATTGTTGCCTGTATTCAATTTTAATATTGAAATTAAAATTAATAAGATTATATTTACATATATGTGCACATATATTTAAATGAATTATATATATATATATATATTGATTTTAATAATAATAATTAATTAAATTTAAAATATCAATTAAAGGGTGTTTGGTTACGAGAGTGGATTAAGGTTGGAGCTCATAACTATTCCTTAGTGGAATAGAGTTTTAATTAAATTGTACTATATAAGTGCAACTTAAAATTAAAACAAGTAACACGTTATTCAATAAATTAAAAAAACCTAGCCACTCTCACTCTCACTCTCACGTTTTGGTAGAGTGAATCAAAGAATTTTTCTTTGATTCTTTACTTGATTCTTGAAGCTTACAAATTGTTCTAGCAAAACAATTGTCGATTCTCTAGATTGTCTTCGTGTGGATCAACGTTTGTGCGATTCTATATTGAATTGGAAACGAAATCAAATTAGAGACATTTGAAGGAGCCTCAAAAAATACGTAACTGTTCTAATCCTTGAATGGATTAATAATATTTTATACAAAAAATTGTTTTAACATGAAAATATTGTAATCAATAGTCGAATCTTGGTGCAATTGTAATTGATTTTTCCGATTTATTATTATTTTTTCTGCTGCGTACAGGAGATCAATTACTAACATAAATCGCATCTAACGGCATGCAATTAGGCCGTAATCGTACCACCTACACCTCCACCAAACCCACCACCATTTCCTCCTCCACCCATGCCTCGAGCTCCTCCTCTCCACCATTTCCTCCTTCCCTCTCCCTTCTATTGTTTAAATGTGAAGTAAATCCTTAAATGAACCAAATTATGTGCTTGTCTGTTGTGAAAGCTTTTCACGGGAATGCCTATGTTTTGCTTTTGCTTTGTTTGGTTAGGCAGAATGGTGAAGAAGATGGTTGATTCTTTTGCTTGCAGTTCGTGTTGCGTTTTTGGAGGAGAACCACTGCGTATTATGATGATTGCAGGTGGCATAAATGGGGATAGTTGGACTGTGGAGTTTTGCCAGGTGCTTGTTGCAGATTCGGTGCATTCGGTCCTCTTGGGCATGCTACCTTTTTCTTTGTTTCTGTTTGTGTCCGTTTAAGGTTTCTTCCTTATTCAGCTTTGATTGTAAGGACCTTTCCTTGTTTCTTGTTCTGTTGCTGCCTTGGCCTGCCCCAAGGTGTTTTGCTTGGAGGGGAATCCCCTCCTTTTGGCTGTATTTTTTTATTCTTTTCTATAAAATTATTGGATTACTAAAAAAAAAAAAAAAATCCAAATTTGTGTTTTAATATGAGTTGAGCAATTGAGAGTTTGAGTTGAGAAGAATGATTTGAAAATTTTTAAGTTGGAAGGTGATTATGTAGTACGTAAATTATTTTTTTCCAGGCCACCGTGGTTCTGGCCATGGTGGAGGTTTTGATGGAGGTGTAGATGGTGGATGATTTGGTGGAGGTATTCACGTAGTGTTAGATTTTTTGGTCATATAGAAAATTACCATCTTATCATTTTTCAAATGATTTTTACTGATAGACTCTGACAAAAGATGGGTATTTGTCGTTTCAAAACTTTTTGGGTATTAATTTGTCTTTACAGTAAACTTTGGGTAGGTATAAGTCCCCCCATTTAGTTATTAAAGTAGATGGGGTCTAAACTAAATTAATTAAAATTTGAATTACTGTTAAATTTCAAATAATAAATTGGGCTATATAAAAGGGAAAAAGCTTAATTATTTATAATTAAATTGTTATTTATTGCATCAAACTGTGCGCCATTAATAAGACTTTCCGGTCCATCCAGCTTTGATCGTCTCATGATCTCACTTCTAAGAAAACTCCCATTAACGGTATCACCAACTACATTGACCAGGCTCATGGATTCATCATCATCTTCAACATCAACAGCAGCAAAAGCCTCCTCACAAATGCATAGACTCCTTATATTAGCCCAACAGTTACGTCATTACAAGCCACCGCCTTCTTGTTTAGATGAATTGGAGGAACAACAAATCCAGGAAACCACTGGCAAGGTTGTCTCTCAACTGGGGTTTGAAGAATCTGTTACTCCAGTTGTGAGGGACCCTCAATGGTTTAGACCCAAAAAAGCTGCTGTTTTGATCTGTCTCTTTGAAGGAGATGCTGGTGATTTGAGGGTCATACTTACAAAGAGGTCTTCAAGATTGTCTACTCACTCTGGTTAGTAATTTTGAACACCATATTGTTTGATGAGACAATTGAGGAAAGGTTTGTTTTCTGGAATTTTCTTTCTCGGTGCTTTTGAAATGATGGATGATTTACCTTCATTGATTAGTTGTGTAAGGCTTAGTTGAATGCCGGGGTTTTGTTTGTTTTCCTGGAAAATTATGGAATTTAGAAGGAAAATAGAACTTTTGATCAGTGGCTTTGATGGCTTTGTAGGATGGAAAGAACTTAAATTTTGAGTGTTCTATGTTGATTAAAGGAGGGGAGTGGTAAATTGGATTTACTTGAGTACTATGCTCGTATATGGCCCAGTTGGAAAAGTAGAAAATTTTGAGTGAAAGCTTCACCTCTACTGAGTTAAAGGGGCTCAATTGAGTGGACTTAAGTTTTTGCTTTTATTAATTGCATTTGGTATCAGCTTATATTTGAGATTGCAATTTCATTTTTTTTCCCTTTGTCTTTTGGCAAACAATTGGAGATTTATTGACTGATGACAATCATGGAATGAGAGTTTTGGAGATCGGCTATTTGACTCAGTTGATGTGTTTGGCTTCAGGGGAAGTATCATTGCCTGGTGGGAAAGCCGAGGAGGCTGATAAAGGTGATGCGGAGACTGCCACAAGGGAAGCTGAGGAGGAGATTGGGTTGGATCCTTCACTTGTGGATGTTGTCACATTTCTTGAACCATTCTTGTCCAAGGTATGGAAGAATTTTTATTCTATGCTCATTACATTTTTCAGTAGTTTTCCTGAAAGAATCTCATGATAGTTTATCTCTTGATTTTGAATTATTTGTCATTTGAATGAGTGCTAACCTGGGTTCAGTTGAATTATGTGATTCTGGAAATTGACCTATAAGTAGTTATTATTTTATGGAATTATGGGTGTCTTGCTATGGTGACTGCAATTGATGTGAACTGGACTATAAACTTGGTAAATCCTCTCGTTGTTTTTTCTTCTTGACTGCAATTTCAACTTCTCTAGTTGAAGGTTTGATGAGTGGAAAAGGGGTGTTGTATTTCCTGTGTTTAATAAATTAGATGGAAGTGACACACTGTAAATAGAGGAGGCTGCAGCAGAGTATGCTTCTTTTTCAGAATTATTTTTCCTTCCAATTCCTTGTAAAATCTTTTTGAATTAGTATTATCTACCTAAATAATCTGAGATTGGTGCTGTGAGTCGAAAACAGAATTGTATTTTCTCCTGTTTTTCTGTTTTCCCTAAATTTTCATCATAGTAGAAATGGTATCAAAAATTGCAGGTTTGGGCATCTATATCTTGAATGTGTGCACCTTGAAAATAGTGTAATGTGTGAACTTTTCTAAGAGTTCTATATAATACTTATGATGTATGGTTTGAAGTGTTGTCGTGGATCTGGGGTCTCAGTTTATATATATGAGAATAAAAGATGGGATCTTGGAAGAATATGGTGTTCTATAGAGCTGTATATGTTGCTAAAAGCTTTCAAAATTGAGTATTTTGATTACAAACCCACAGACACAGCTCAGCTTACTTCCCAAATTTTAAATTGCTCAATTACTTCCTCTGCCTGCCTCGAATTCTTTAATAATTGAATCATTAGGTCTCTTATATTCATGACTTCATTCTAAAATTTAAAATTTGTCTACTTTGTAATCTTAATTTACATACTTAAATTCTCCTGAATTTTGCTTGGTACTGTAGTTACTGGTATGTAAAAATGAAAAGTTTGCTGTTTCTATTCTGTGCATTTGGTTGCACATGCATGCATTTACATCTCAAGTTCTCTGGTGTTGCAATTTGTTGGAATTTTTTTTTTTTTATTTTTTTTTGGCCAGTTCAACTCTATTGTTATCATGACAAATCCATGTATAGGGACTTCCTTGCTTGCATACATTTCACATCTATTCGTTTTTAACTCTCTTCATCAAGATATATATATTGTGAATAAAAGATTGGATTATTAAATTTACAATGGGTACTGAGAGTTAAAACGAAACCTAATGACATTCAGGCTATTGTGGAAGAATTTTTGCACCACACTATGAGATGATGCACACATCTTGTTAATGAATGACTTGATATATATGTGCGGGTCACCACAATATTTATTCACTTGTCACAAGCAATGATTGTCAGTTTGATATGCAAAAGATATAGTTGGGTCAATTTTTCTGAATAAAATTCCTTGGGAAACCATTGCATTAATCTGAATGATTCTGCAGAATATCAGAGATATTAAAATGGCTACAACATTTCATGAATGAACAACTATTTAATTTAGCATGTGGTTAATGGTATAGAGTGTAGAAAACTTTTTAATTTAGCATATTTGAAACTTGAGCTGTATTTGGCTTTACTATCGGGGTTTAGTAATCATCATTTTTCTGTGCAGCACCTCCTCAGAGTTATACCTGTTATTGGCATACTTCGGGATAAGAAAGCCTTCAAGCCTATTCCAAATCCTGCTGAAGTAGAAGAAGTATTTGATGCTCCCTTGGAAATGTTTATTAAGGTTTTTCTCTCAACATTATCTACTTTCAGTTCCTTTGTTTATATTACTATTATTTTTTAAGGAATTATATAAGAAATGTTGCTTCAGGATGAAAACCGAAGGGATGAGGAGAGGGAATGGCTGGGAGACAAGTATCTTATTCACCTTTTTGATTATGAATTTGAGAGCAAGAAGTACTTGATATGGGGTTTAACTGCCGCCATTTTGATTAGGGCCGCTTCAGTGGTATTCCAGAAGCCAGCAGCTTTTCTAGAGCAGAACCCCAAGTTCAAGTTTCCTAGAGTAATAGACAAAGACACCTCTATGGAAACGAATTCTGAGACGAAATAGCTTGGGTGTACTCGAGATAAAATTCTGCAATAAATGCATCACGGCCCTCACTTGTTGAACTAGTATAACTTTTAAAGGACAATCTGATTCATGTATCAAAACAAGTAACCACTATATGCATATTTCATTCTCAGATGCCCCTAATCTGAGGCGGCCAAATATATCCGGACTTTAGAAGGCAATTGGAGGATTTCTTCACTAAATAGTTGTTACAACATAATTGTTGGAGCTATTGCTTTCACCTTCCTCAGGTTAGTTCTTGAACGACTTCAAAACTACTTGTTTCATGTGAATCTCATTTGTAAGTTACTCTTAACAGGACCTGCATCTTGGTGCAAAGACCTTGCACAGTTCCTTGTTAACAACATGAATGTTGGTACTGGAAGAGCTGCTTCTCATTGGGTTCGAGCTTCTGTATTTGATCAAAGGAGGCATTGGACTAGAGAACTGTGAGAAGCTGAAGTTTACGTTTTTGTTATAGGAAGTGGATGTTTCTCTGTAATTTTTTGCCAATTGATATGGGCTAATGATGGTTAAACCCTGCTTGATATTATTATTAACACGAGGAAGTCCCCTCTTGGCCAATGGGTATGGAAATTGTGTTGCTGTTCCAGATTTCCTTGTTCTCACTTGTTTCACTTTGATCTTTATTTAAACCTTGATAAATATCAGGTTGAGAGTCCAACTTCATTTTCCCCACTAATATATAATGACACGTGCATTTGAAAATTCATATCTAATCCATTCAGAAACCTGCATGATTCCAACACTAATCGTTTTATATTTCGGCTATCTACGGCGGCACCAGGCCCAAGAATTTTCAATGTGATGATCTTCCTTACTAACCAACAAACAAACAAGACTTAGCGATTTTTCTCCATCTAAATAATGACTTTTAATTTTTAAAATATTATTTTATTATTTAAATTTTTTGATAATCCAGATTATTGAGACTTTTAAAGAGAGGAGATCGATAATCTTTTAATAGTGAAATATTAAATTTTGGTAGTTGAGATTTATTAGAATTTGATTTGGAAAGAGCAATTATACAAATCTTAATAGCTCGATTGTTGCTATTGATCGGATCGGTCAGAGTAGGGTGGTAAAGTTTCTTTAAACTATTATTTGGGTTAGAAAAAATCGGTTACTCAACAAACAAATCCTTTTATTCATGAATATCATGACCACATCTGTAACATAACATAAATGCATAAATCATTACATTTGTGATAGTGTAATAGACAATTGGATACAAGTTCCCTCCCATAGTATGTATATATGACAATTTCAATAACTAAACCCAGTTAAGGAAAAATAAAAAACTTCATTCCAATAATATAATATATGCGGTAAGTAGTGGCGGCTAAAGTGTTTGAATTGCCGTGACAAGAAGCTCATGGATTCCAACAACACCGGAGACAGATCTGGAAGACTTGAAACCTTAGCCCGACAGCTTCGTGTCTACGAGGAAAAACCAGATGAGAATGAGATCCCAAGGAGTGAAGGAGAAACAACTTCTCAAGACTCAAATTTAAATGCAGTATCTTCAACCAAGAGAGCAGCAGTTCTTGTCTGCATTTTTGAAGGAAACGATGGCGATCTTCGTGTAATCCTCACCAAACGCTCCTCAACTCTTTCTTCTCACTCTGGTACTAAAACTAAACTTACCTTTTTTTTTTATCTTGAATTGAAAGTTAATGGAAAGACCAAATGGGTGGGTTTTGTTTCAGGTGACGTGGCACTGCCCGGTGGGAAAAGAGAGGAAACCGATGCTGATGATGTAGAAACAGCGTTGAGAGAGGCTAAGGAGGAGATCGGTTTGGACCCTTCTCTTGTTAATGTTGTTACAGTTCTTCAACCCTTTGTTACGAAGGTATATTCTGTTTAGGAGCATGTGTTTTTTCTTCCTAATTCTGAAATTTTTTGGCCCTTTTACATAATTTCAGGTGCACTGCTCAATTTTTTATGTCTTCCAACGAATTGAGTTTAGAGTTTGGAGTCACCTGTCGTAATTGGGAGATAAGTATGAGCAATTCTTGATGAAAAACATGAGTCTAGCTTTTCAAGATCTATACTACCATTTGTTCTTACTGCAAGTCAAATTTATGATATGATGCGAGTATGTCGTAGATTTGATACAAAACTGGCAACATATAATGCCTCGTTGAGAATTATGATTCATTCTTCGGTTAATCAACATTGACGGTTCAATTTTTTTCTAACATACAAGTAACCAATCATCATATATTTTCTAGTGTTTATTAACCGAAGGATGAATCTTACAAACTTTAGCCACTTCTTGCACTTTATCATTGTAAATCAATATATCATATCTGATGTGAATATGGATTCTAGCAATTAAGTTTGTTGTCAGTTCTAAAGCTTTAAAAGCTTCCTTGGGAGTACTTAAGTATCTTTGAACCATTCTATGAACCTGAAAGGTCACAATTCATCTGCAAATATATACTTTTCGCGACTATTTGTAACTTAAGTTTTAATTTAGAAGTGGTCTTATGTGCAGATTGGAATGACAGTAGTTCCTGTCATTGGTATACTTTCTGAAAGGAAAGCTTTCATTCCGGTTCTAAGTACAGATGAAGTAGAAGCAATGTTTGATGCTCCCTTAGAAATGTTTCTCAAGGTTATACACTGTTCCATTTTACACTTGAGCATCTCATAATCTTCTCTTTAGGGGCTTATTTCTCGTGATTGTGACATAGGATGAGAACCGGAGAGAAGTAGAGAAAGAATGGATGGGAGACAAGTATTTACTCCATTTCTTTGACTATGAAGCAGAGGGCAAGGAGTACATGATATGGGCTTTAACCGCTGGAATCTTGATCAAAGTTGCATCAGTTGTGTACCAACGCTTGCCTGCATTTTCTGAGAGGAGGCCTAAATTCTGGAGTAGAAGTTTGTGATAATAAGTTGTAGAATTATAGCATTTCTTCTTAATTGACGGTTGCATTGTCTAATGAATTGTAGAAACAGAACATGGCAAGAATATATACATTCCCTGCCATATCATTTATAATTTATCTTCCTATTGATAGTTTATTGAAATGTTGCTTTAAGATCATAGATGAGATATTTATGTCCAGAAACTAACAGAATGAATAGAAACAATGCAGATTACGGGTTTCACAGTATAGTAATCCATAAAGCATCTGCTCAAGGCATCATTTGTTTGATCAACTACAAAATGTTTGAAGGTAGACAGACTTGATGAATACTAAACTTTATATTGTTAAAATATAAAATATTAAAATAAAACATGGAATTGATAACAAAAACTGCCATCGTAGATGGCTGATGGCAGGATTTATTAAAAAATAACATCAGACAGCAAGGAAGCACCCTTTCTCTGCAACAAAATGCAACTGACCAGGGTTATAAAGCTTCTCAAGTGAAAATGTTACTCCACAAATAAAAGTGCAAAGAGCATAATTTGCATTAATAACAATTCTCCCTCCAATTCATTACAATTTCACAGACCGTATATGTAGTCATATCAACTTTAATGATCACACCAATATTTTCAACTATACTTCCAAAGTTCAATTGTGATCATATCATGAAAAATTGGAGAAAATTGACAAAAATACTATTAGCAGAAAGATCTCCGTAAAAATGATAACAGAAGCAAAGGGAATTCTAAAAACCTCCGTCCTCAGCTAAAAACCTCGTAGAATTTCTCAATGACTAGTAAACCAGAGTCAATTGACTCCAATGGATCCTTGCGAAGGCGATGCCTCAAACAGTTGGGGATGACAGTAGCAATATCCTCAGGAGTAACATTGTCCCTTCCCTTGAGAGACGCAAGAGCTTTTGCTGCTCTGTTAGTCACAATGTCTCCTCTCAATCCATCAACGTTCAACTCTGCACAAACCTTGGAGATTTTCACCTTTAGCTCATGATCAATCTGAACAGAAGAAAGAGTACTCCTAGCTGAGGCAATTTGTTGCTGGAGCTTCTCTTGCTCCGCTATGTAAGAATCGCGGAATTCCTTTGGGTTTCTATCAAACCGAGCTCTCTCCTCCACAATCTTTACCCTGAGCTCAGCCTCCCTTACAGTCCCCACTTGGGCATGCATTCCAAACCGATCAAGCAGCTGTGGCCTAAGCTCCCCCTCTTCAGGATTTCCAGAACCAATGAGAATAAACCTTGCAGGATGTGATATAGATATACCCTCTCTCTCAACTGTGTTCCATCCTGAAGCAGCAGAATCCAAAAGAACATCCACTAGATGGTCATCCAGAAGGTTAACTTCATCAACATAAAGAATTCCTCTGTTTGCTTTAGCAAGAAGGCCAGGCTCAAATGCCTTGACACCCTCAGTTAGGGCTTTTTCAATGTCAATTGTCCCACAGACCCTATCTTCTGTAGCACCCAATGGCAAATCAACCATGTTGATTTTCGTCATTACAATAGAGAGCTCCTTCCCTTTCATAACACTCTCTCTGACTTCATTCCCCATGGACTCTGGATCTTCTGGGTCTGAGTTATATGGATCACCAGAAACTACTTTGATTTCAGGAAGTAAATCTACCAATGACCTAACAGTGGTCGATTTTCCAGTTCCTCTATCACCCATAATCATCACACCACCAATCTTGGGATCGATCACATTTAATATGAGGCATAATTTCATCTCTTCTTGTCCTACTATTGCGGTAAAGGGATACACCGGCCTCTGGCTCTCCATAGCAGCTGCACGCTTCTGGGCCTGAAAACACCATGAACTTCAAAAACTCCGTTCACACAATTTCCAAAAGCTATTCTTAATAATTTTGCCATCTGCATTCTCCCAAAAGCAATACTTTACCGTGGATATAATTTCCCTAATTTCATTTCCCTTTTGTTAAATATTTCAATTTCAATAATTAATAGAGCAAATAATGCTTTCAAAACATTTTGACTGCACTGAATTTTCTTCAATCTTCTTCAAAGCTACAAAATTCTTGAGGGTACAATAAATACTTTAACCAAGTATAAAGCACATTTTCACAGCCAACTAAAGTTTGATCTCAAAATATAACAACTAGAAATATTAAGAGAAAGCAAACCAGTACCTGTTCAACAGAGTTGATTTCGGTAGCAACATTGGTGACAGCAAACTGAGACCTCCCCTTCTTACCTTCATTAATCCCAATTCCTCCACAAAACCTCCTCCCATAATTCAGCCCTGCAAGAAACAACAGTAAAAAGATCAAACACTTTAACACCCTACCGAAAACTTCAAAAAACCCACTAATTAATTACACAAACAAAATAAAAAAAATAAAAAAAAACCAAAAAAATAAAAAAAGAAACTTGCGCACATTTAAACAATAAACATACACTGGGTCAACCTTAACAGAATGTGAACTTAAATTCAGATTCTGAAGAGTAAAAAGTAAAAGATTGAGAAATGTACCGGAGGCTAAGGAGAAAGAGGAGAAGGTAGGCTTAGAGGTTGGATAAGAGAGAGAGCGAGAAGCCAAGATAGCAGTAGAAGAAGTTCCGAGTGTCGACGCCATGTGAATGTTCAAGTGGTGTTTTGGTGGTGGTGGTGGTGGTGGTGGGGGTGGGGGTGTGTGTTTACAGGTTTT